TATATATATATATATATATATATATGTAGAGAGAGAGAGAGAGAGAGAGAGAGAGAGAGAGAGAGACAAAGACACTGATTCTGCCCCTGCCGTTGGCATAAAACTCTCTTCCCGAAGATATAATTAGATCAGCTTGAATGTTTTCTTTCAGTCACGTGAAGTTGATCTCCATATGCAGGTTTACTGACAGGTTGACGGGGACATTTCATAAGAATCAGGACCAATTCCTTCATTGAATCTGATGATTTCTTTTGTTCTCAAGCTGTCAGTTCTGAATGGAAGATGAACAAGTTCGAACACATCGTTAAAAACCCATTAGAGATGACGAAAGAAAAGTAGAGACGGGAAATGAGCATGTATGTTGTTATATTGCAATATAATTTTGATGCGGCACATGTCACACTAACGAGAGATTCTTCTATAGCGGCTAAGCCTCCATGTGAAACATGTTAGACTTGTTATATTTGAATGGCAGATGTGAAATGAGATAAACAACAAATGCAGCCGGCGGCCGTAGTTAGGAAGGATTTTGATGCGTCGGCGTGAGACGGCAAATCCGCGCCGGCGGCCGTTGAAGTACTTGGTTCGCAAGGGCTCATCCAGCCGCGGAGTGTGCTCCTCGTCGCCAGTTTACCTCTTATTACTCTTGGCGACGGCGGCGGCGGCGGCGGCAGCAGTGGTTGAAGCTACACGATAGGGTTCGAGGAGGATGGTCCTCATCCAAGAATCCATCTCCTTCACCAGGTCGCACGTCGGCGTCGCCAGCTCGATATAGATACATGCGTCTCCTCACGCAAAGCCGAAGGTTCTAGAATTGCCTTCGTTATGTTCCCTCTAAAACAACCCCCGGGGCCCCTGGTTTCCCGCCCAAGGCTGAAACCCTGGCTCTTGGGCGTCCACTCCAAGCCCAAGCCCAAGCCGATGGCACCGACAGATCTCATCCCCTCCCGAGACCCTCGGTGAATCGGGCCTGCTTTCCCGCCAACCGGGAGATGATGGAGTTCGGGGCTCAGCAGCATAGGGCTTGGGGAATCGATTCTTCCCGAACCGCTGGTACTTGGATCGCTTACCCCCTTTCTCTTTTCCCCTATTTGTTGATTTTTCGCTCGTATCGTTCGTCTTAACGCCGCCGCCTCCTCCTCCTCTCTCTCTCTTCTTGGGTTTGTTGAAATGTTTCTGATCGGATTTATGGGCTTCTCATCTATCCACTTCTTTAGCTTTACTTGTAGAGCACAGACAGTGGGTTTTTGGATTGTTTGACAATTTAGAGGTTAGAAATTGTGCAATCTTGAGAAAAATAGGAATCCAAAATCAGAGAAATGGTGTCTCGAGCTATTTTTGCGTGGGTTTATAAGAATTGTGGAAACAAAGGTGTTTCTATCAATTTCTTTCTCTTCAAGAGATTACAGAATGCTATTGTCAAAACAAGAAAAATGCTATAGCGGATTCTTTTGTTTATTTAGGTTATGAAGACTCATCTGGTTGTGAGACAATGGTTGTGCATCCAACCTTTGATACAGAAAACAATTGACAAGCAATCTATGAGTTGGTCCCAGATGACAAATAATTCCAACGTCAAAAGCAAGATTTCAGAGATGGGAATGGGCCAGTTTCCAGGTCGCAAAACAGTTTCACCGTCAAAAGACTTCTTTTCTGATATTGTAGAAATGGAGATCTTCAACTTTTGTCTTTGATTGAATATTTAATGGCAATCAGCTCGTTTTAAGAGTCTATGGAGAAAAAAGAATGATTCTTTTCATGTTTGTGACATAAAAAAAAATTGATTCAACTGAGATGCTTGAGAATGTCATCAATCTTGATCGGGATTTGGATTGCAAGGATTACCAGGGACACGGTATGATGAAGTTGCCCATCTCAAACTAAATTCCGATGTTGTTTGGCGTTCCGCTGTTCTTGTTAACATAAAAAAGTTGATTGCCAGCTTGTTTTAAGAGTACATGGAGAAAAATGGATGTTCTTGGTGGGTGCACCATGTGGAACACTGTTCTGATTTCAGGTTATGCATGCAAACTTGGGAGGGTCATGATGCATCGATATTAGTATTTTGAGGTTATCCGCATATTGCTAGTATAAGTTCTATCTGCCATACATGTACAATTTTCATACAAAATTCAAGTATGCAGGTTTATCATTAAAAAACCTCAATTCTATGATTTTTAAGGTCGAAACATGTTCTCTTTTTGATTAGTTAAACTAATAATTTCAGTAGGTTTTTTCAGTACCATGATTCACATCAACTGTGCTTAAGTCAATTGGGAAGGATTCCTTGTGCAGCAGGATAATCCACAAACAGATGATGGAACTGTGGCTCCTTCACACATCAGGCCTACTCCTGAAATTTCTGGCTGGAGAGTTTAGAAAACTGGAGTTCTCCTTCGAATTTAGCCCACCACACTGAGGCATAAGGATCTTCCAGAAGACAAATTCCAAGTATGTTACCTTCTTTTCAAAAACAATTAATTAAAATTAGATTTCTTACTTTGTATACTTGACAAAAGTCCTTATATATAGTCCTCATGTTGTTTCTATTTCATGTAATTAGTAACTTTTATAAGATTGGTAGCACACAACATCCACTCAAGTACTGGTTCTCTGTTACTGTATCTTGAAGTTAATATCATTGTTGATAGGTTAATTTGAAACCAGATTGATTTCTCCTATGGTGAAGCAAAAGGCTCATACATACAAGTAGCCTGGTTCCCTCCATTAAATTCTCCTTTCAATTAGCTGACTGACTCTCTGACAAGCAGTATGGAGGAACATGCATGTATATGTCAGGTGCGTGAGGATTAAAATAATACTGTCCCTTAAGTTAAAGCAGTGAATATTAAAGACTCCATTTATGAGGAGGGCTTATACACGATCTGTCTTGAACCTAAAGTTTGGAAACTGACTTGAGTCTCTTTCTACATAATCTGTACATAATTTATCGGGAGTAATTCTGCAAGTATTTTCCATCAAAAATGATCCTAATAAGGTTCTTCTGATGAGAAATAATACGATGAAAAGTAATATACCTTTCTCGTCAAATTTTCTACTTATGGATTTTTTGTTCACTAGTTGAAAGATGGTAATTCTTGATTAGTTCCTGCTCAGGTGGAGCCAATTGTTGAAGGCTCTCTTGACATAGCTCACAGTAAAAGTGGTAACTTCAAACATTAAGAAAATGACGGAGTAGGTACTTTTTTATGTTCTACCAGCATATAAGTGCTTGTTTTGAACAAGTATTTCCGTGAGGTAGGAGAGGATGCCCATCTCCCATTTTAATTCATTTGTATATCCACTGGTTGATAGTTGATAAGATATGATTTTTTTTCGTAATATTTGATCTGTTTTCACTTTTTTTAAGTGGAGGTCTTTGTTAGCTTAGGTGGTAAAAAAATCTCATCTTGTAATAAGGGAAAAAAAATCTATGTAGATTATAAATCTCAAGGAATCTAAAATACTTTCGATGTGGGGTTTCCTATGACTTTAATATTAATCACTATTTCGATGTCCGATGAAATTTAATTCTAAGAGCATTCATATCAGTCTTTTATGTTGCAGGACAACCATGTCGATGATGAATTATGCTACGGATGTACACGGCATATTTTCCAGAGACTTTTAGGTGGAAGGAAACAGCGCAGGGAGGCATTAACTTCAGTTACAGAGAAGTCGTTCAGATGTCGCTTTCTCGCGTTCTTTTTCATCACTAAATTTAAGCGGAAATAATGCCGACTCTTTATACATTGCAGTTGTGACTTGAAAGGCACTGTTTCAAAATTATCCTGAGAGGATAACAAGACTCATCGATGCATCACGACCCATTCCAGAAAGCTAGAAAGGCATTCTGTTCTCGGGGAAGATGAGATGCATGAATAGTTCGACAGCCTTGCGCATATCGCCAGCAACAAAAGAATGACAGTGCCCTGCTTTTTCCTTCCCCCAAGAAAGAGAGAGGAAGAATCCACCAAAGCATGCATCGGTACTGAAGGAATGAACAGGTCATATTTCCAGCAACCAAAGGATAAATAGGTTTATAGCAATGAATAGGTCCCACTACGCACTGCACCACGAGGGTTTAAGTCTATAGTTGGGGGAAGATTTATTATAAGGTATTCTACCAGAAAAAAATATACACTATTTTTATTTTAAAAATCTTAAAATTTGATAATTAATCATAAAAAATTATCAAAAAATCATACTAATAATCTTAAAATAACATCATAATAATTTTTTAAAAATTTAGATCGATTTACTTAAAAATCATCAAGCTATATTCCAAATTGAAGTAAGTTAAACTCAATCATGGAATCTATTAATTTTTTTAAAATTTGATAATTAATTATTATAAAATTTTATAAAAACGAAAATTATGTTACAATCTTAAAATTATGGTCAGAT